AATTCTAATGATACGATATAAGTATTTTGAGGTTAAGAACCTACCTGCTGCAATACAGCAAAGTTGCAATAATGTGTTTGCAACGTTCTCTTAAGTCGGCTTTGCACGTGCAAGTCATTAATATGATATTGCTGAAATCACCCAGAATCACCGCACCAATTATATAACGTGAATCACTTTTTAAATCGGAAGTTTGTATTGGCATTAAAAACACGCTCACCTTCAACGAAATTTCCTTTTTGAGCCTTTGTGTCAGCCCAATCACATATTGTGTCAATACTTATCATTTTATCGTAATTTAAAAACTTGGAAGTTGCACGGTACACTATAGGAACTACGATAAATTTTCCCTAATCGGCGCCATGTTTTTAGGCTCCTCCCATTTGACGGATCCCAATACCATGGAAGAAATATCTATTCATTCTTTATTGATTCTGTTATTATTCGTTAGCTTTCCAAGTTTATGTAAATCCTATTTCCTAATCAATAAAAGATAGTTGGAAACTATAGTGACACAAACAAGTATTGTTCATTAAAATGGAATAATCCATCGCATTTGTTTCTTGAACTGTAAAAAAAATTTTTATATACAATGGGTAATTTAGAGAAGCGTCAGATGTAAGCATAAAAGTATCCATAACAAGCGAACAGAACATTTAGAAAATATATGTATTGCGGTTGTGTTTTCTAGTTACTTCATCGACTTCGTAACGACAGACTTTCTTTACTTATCTAATACAAAGAAGGGCAGGTGTTTTTAATTTTTATCGCTTCAGCAGTTTCGATATTCTCTCCTTCGTTTCCTACAGTTCTTCTCCATTGTAAGACCGTTCCTTGGGCATTTCGCTTACTTGCCCCTTTTCATATCTGGTGATAGCGTGTCGTTTCGGGAAGACTTATTTCGAAATTAAATTACCCGCGCCGTTGCCTTCTATACGTACAGCCTCAGGCCCGTGGATTCGCAACGACATGGTCCACGGGATACGAAGGAGGAAACTGCATTTGCAGTCTGTACTCCATCGTATGCTACAACTACTACGGCGACGGCTCTGTTTGCACGTTGCTTATCGTAATGTCGTTAGCCGGCAACCGTTTGTGGTGTAAATGAAGTCGTTTTCGTTACTGGGTCTTTGTTATCGTGTACAAAAAAATTTGCAACGAACTGCTTCAAAAAAGTGTACTTAATTTGTGTCGGTTTAATTAAAGCGGCGCTGAGTCCTGTGGAGCTTTCCAAAAGAAATGTTATCTTTAAATTGGGAAATCCGTAGCGCCGGGAATGACTGCCCCACAAATGATTTTGCAATTACACAAAATAATTTTTTGTGTTCCTATAGGGATTAACATTTAACTGTACGAAAGTTAATGAAAAGTAAATGTTGGAGTATTGAATGCTCAAATCCAAAATAGTAGAAGAAACTTACATTTTCTATCTTTATTCCGCCTTCGTAACCCGTAGAAAAAATTTCCATTGTAGAGAATTGCCAATGGGACGAATTGGATTTCCATTAGAATTCTAGCTGAACGCANACAAACATTAATCACACCTATTGTTAATCGTTTCGAACGAGACTGATGAAACTAAAATCCATGTAACGAAACAGATTTTATAAATAAATAATTGAAAAACCAAAAAATATTTCATTTCTTAATTAATTATTTCATTGAAATTTTTTGGGAAATAAAACTTTTCCATTCAAATTATTCAAAATGGAAACAATTGTTTTTCCATTTATGCCAAATGGTTTTGAATGGAATTTACAAATTTTCCATTGATTCCCATTGAAGTTCAATGGAAATTTTTCCTACGCGAAGTCATAACGTAATGATATATAATAGAACCTTGATAACGTAATACCCTCTATAAATTCATAAAATTTTGTGATCCCTTCCCCTCGGAGTCCAAAACCTTTATTATTTAAAATAAAACCCTCTATAACTTAAACGAATAATTTGGGCATCGCACCTCAGTAAGCAGTGAAAAGTGGTTTGAATCGAGAGAAAGTTTTCTATGTAAAAGACGAAGAATTGCTGAATTTCCTAATTTATAAAAATGCTTATTAACATGGTTTAGACAGAAACATTAGTGTTAGTGGACCTATACTAAAGGAAAAAGCTGAAGTGTTTGCTAAGTCACTGGAAATCCATAATTTTAAAGCTTTAATAGAAAACCTCAATAACTTAAATTATTTTACGTTTCCCTTGGTCTTTATTTTATCGAGGTTCTACTGTATCTATAACTTAAAGTCTTCACTGAAAAATAGGCTTTGCAATATTAAAAGACTTGAAAATCGAGTTATAGTCCAAAATTAATCAGGAACAGAGAAGTAATCAAAAACATATAGATAAACAACTAATTCAAACAAATCTTTCGTCTTCATTTTATTAAAACAGCCATTCTCACCCTGTAGGTCTTTCTATTTTCAAAAGCTGTAATAGAAGTTAGAAGTCTTATAACAGAAGATTATCTGTCAGTTGTTTTGATATTAAATTTTAGGTGCTTTTTACATTGGATAAAGAATCTCGCTTACTCAGTTTAACTAAATTATAGAAACGAATTTATTGAAAAGGAACCGTATTCAGCGTCACAGTCGATGCAAACGTGTCCTGCTCTTTTTTTTTTTTCATCCAGACAAGCTGCTGCCGCTGCCATCCGTCAGGATTTGTTGAGCGGGATAAAAAGAGCCTCTCCGTCTGGTGCTCGTTTTCTGGTTGGGGTCTTGCTGTGCGACCAGCGGTTTTTTGTCGAGATCATCAGCAAGAAAGTCTGATCTATATTTTGATAATATGACATAAGTAACTTGACTGTCATATCCATCTTTTTGCTTCGTCATCAACACCGAGTGATGGGCCTTGTGTGGAAAGGCAAAAACTCACTAAATTGATATTGATCTTTGGTCATATTAAGTGACGAATGCCAACATCTGCAAAATGTATTACATTACTCAAGGAAAAAACAATACATTTACTTAATTATATATATATCTGTATTAGACATCGGTCAGTTCTGAATCAAGAAACAGGTCTTGTCCACTTATCCTGTTCATTAACTCTTTAAGTTACTCCAAATGTTTCCAGCTTTGTTAAAGCTTTGGACTGAGCGGCATGACCTAGAGGTTTAGACCATAGCTTAGCATTCGGGAGGTCGCCGGTTCGATTCCGGGTCCGTCTGCCTTGGTCCAAGTTTTTCTCTGGTTTCCTTGGATTACTTAGGTAAATGCTGGGGCAGTAATATTCCACAGATAATCTTTCATTCTCTTCTGTCTTCATTTCGTCCGTCTCAACTTTCTCACCCGAACCACCACCCACCCATTCCCACGATTCCTGAAGGCAGACTTAAGAGGGCCTTCCGCCCTACCTTCCGGCGTAGTCCGGAGGGACTGCCCGCCCACCAGCATTACTGGCTGGTGGGAATGAAATACCCAAAAGTTTTAGTTTTTTTAAAACTTTGGAATTATTTGGATCATTATGACTTTCTTATAAAAAATACTATATTCAGGTTTTCTGCTAGTTGTGGGTTCATTTATATATTGACCGCTAAACCTCGTCAGACATGGTCGTCACTAGACGCTTATGGTCGCCATTTTTTATCAGTTGTCTAAGTCAAATTGAAACAGTACCTTTAGTACTTTAATATCTTAATAAAGGGCATTGTGGTACGACTAAATTTTAGACATTGAAGATTTGATGGAGCAATGAAGATCAGGATTGTAGACATTGAATTCTCAGATGAAAATCGATCCTTTCAACATAAGCAGTGCTTAAACGTAACTACAGTAAAAGCTCTTTATTCGCGGGGTATACGTTCCATAAATATGCCGCGAATATAGAAACCGTGGATATGGAATGGTAACTAGTATGGAATCATAGGGGATACGTTCTAAGATTCCAAAATAAAACCAATATGTATCAAAATAAAATCAATGTATTGATAAATTCGCAATCAAAATTAATCGTTACAAGAGTTTAAAAAGATTTAGTGATTTTTTCTTGTTTTGACATTTGAAATTAGTCCACTCGGTTAAATCTTTTATAAAAGTCGCATCGGCAAGAGCCAACAGTACTCAAAAGATGCTGATACGTTGAAAAATAACACCCAATCCTTTTCTACTCGGTTAAATTAAACATGCTTATCGGTTCTAGATATCATGAGTGTAATACTTGAAACAGAGGATTAAAATTTTGTAGTAAGATAGATAAAGCTTTGTTCTAAAGCATGTCGAAGGCCATTTTTAAATTTTCTAATTTCTATTGAAAATACGTTTCTTACAAGAAGCATCAACTTTAAGCACTTGTAAAAGCTTTTAATGACCGTATTATTGAAAACCAAAAACGTACTGAGTTAGTGTGAACCTTTGTCTGTTACCATACAAAAAATTAGATATTTATCTCGCAGCGTTAAATCACAATGTTTAGAATAGAAACCCATGTTTTCGGAAAAATTCACACTAGGCACGAGCGGTCTATTGCGGTCAATCCCCTTAATAAATGACACCGAATCCTTTTCTGTTTACCGATTGCAACCGCGAATAATGAAATTTTTAACCGCGAATACAGGAACTGGGTTGCAATTTTTTCACCCGCCAATAAGGAAACCGTGAATAAGGAACTTTTACTGTATTAGTTAAATAATCTTTTCAAACATTGAAAAATCAATTATGTATTTGTTATTTTTGCATGTAAATTTAATTACAGTCTGGTGGTAGGGTATAATTTATAATGTTATTTTCTGAAAAGCGATCTTTCATGTTTTATCATGCCTTTTTTTGGAGAGAGCAAAAACGTTTTATTCGAAAATTACTAATAAAATCGTTTTTGAAGTCTGTCGGCAGCTATAAAGTTAAACATCGAGAAAGAGTGATTAACAGAGAGCAGTAGACAAAAGGCATTACGCTTAGTTACCTTTGCTAATTAAAAGGCACAAAATTATAATTTTTAACAAGAGATCAAGCGTCCCGTTCTTCATCGTTAATAAAAGTATTATTTTCTTTTTCGTTTTTCAGTGGAAGTCGAGGTGGTGTGTCGTCAGAAAATTGTCCCCAGTTGCAGGTAATTAACAGTAAATAATTGTTTGACGTCAACGGCTTGACAGCCGGCTGAAGACCTATTGAACTGGCGCTGCTTTTAATAAACTCATTGCAGGATGTTGTTCTTGTACACGTTGTAACTGTCACAAATTATCCTATGTCAAATTCGGGGAGATGAGATCGATTTTAAGCGACTCAGAATTTGTGTAATAGTACGTAGAACATAATCAAAAATAATTACTGGTCCTTAAGTCTTTAAGTGACTGTGATGAGTTTCTTTATTTTAATTTGAAGTAAATAATAAAATAGATGTTTTAATCACACCTGGATTAATATTTTGGGTTGGTTATTAGACTAACAATATTAAGTATCTACTACCTTCTTGAATAGGTACAAGTATTTTAGGCGGTACTTGCAAAGGCAGTTAAGAGAAAAATTAAAAATTCTTAGTATGTTATTTCCAGGTGATGAAATGTGTACTTGTATACATATGTGTTTATCAAAACGTTATTGAATGAAGTAATAAGGTCGTCAGTCCTAAGACTGGTTAAACACGCACCTCCACTCTTTCCTGCTAATTTTTGCATTTCCCTAAATCTTGAACAACCCATATCTTTAACCACTTGCGAACAGTAATACATATATATTTAAGCTACTTTGACTAGTTAATTATGAATTATACGGAAATTAAAGTTGCTCCAAAGGTTAAAGTTATATTCAAGCACTTTTCTAAAGCGTTAGCAGATTCATCAAGAAACATTCAACTTTTAAAATGAAGTGTAATATTTTCATCATCATCATAAGGGAGTCAGTTCTAAGAGTGCTTGGACACGCACCTCCACTACTTCTTATCCTGAGCTAATATTCGCATTTCCCTATATCTAGAATATCCCACAACCTTAACTATTTGCGAACTGTAATCTAATCTAAGTCTACCTCTACCCCTCCTAACTACCATTTCTGCTTCTAATATGTTTCTGACTAGACCACTAACCTATCTCGCCTATTTCTTATTGACTTCCATAGAGTCTTCTGTTCTCCTATTCATTCTAATACCACTTCATTTCTAACCATCTCTATCCACGATATCCTCATCATTCGCCTGTAACAGCACATTTCGCTTCTAACCTTTTCTTTTCCGGCGCGCCCACTGTCCATGTTTCGCACCCATACGTGCTCTAAACATACACCTTTAACAACTTTTTTCGAAGTTCTAAATTAACCGTTCGCGAGCATAGAAGTGACTTCTTTTTATTGAAGGCGAATCGGTCCTGCGCTATCCTCTACTTTATATCCCTGCTACTCCTTCCGTCCTGATTTATCTGACTTCCTAGATACCTAAAATCGGCCACTTCATCTAATTTTTCGTCTCCTATATTTATATTCGCTCTTTTTCTACTTTCTCTTCCCTTGCACACCAGTATTTTGAATGAATTGCGATTTCAAAATTATATGTTATTGTTACATTTAAAACAGGCATTGTTTACCATATTAAACGTTCCATCTCCCTTAAAACACTTAACTGAGGTTAACCTTTGACCCTCGATCATTCGTTTTTATTACTTGCATTGTTTTCGGTCAATATAGCACAACAGACATTCTTTCTAGATCTCCAATAAAATCGAGTTCAATGATATCGATTGGATTCTCTACTAAACATATGTAACTGATTTAAAAAGTAAATGTGTTAGTAATATAAAATGTATCTTCTATGCATTACTTTTTTATTTATGAAAAAACGCGTAATTTTAATTAGAAGAAAACGTTGGGCATATTAAATAAAATCTGAATCCCAAAAGTAAGGTCTCCAAATACTTACCAGTATTACTTTCGAGGAGCTTCGAGTATATAAAAAAATCGTGAAAGTATAGATAGGAATCAAGGGATCGTTAATTTTCTATCAGAAAATTACAGGTGTTTATCGTCATCCACCACTCTACAGTCCGGATTCTTTCTTAATGAACATTTGACCGGATGGCACGTATGCATCTCAGTGTTTACTTAACAACATGGCTGCAAGTTGGTAGGAAAATGGAGGAATACTCAAATTTTAAAATGATGTACCATTAACGGCTTTTTCTATCTTTAAAAAAAAATGAAGAGACCTTAATTTTGATATTACCATAGTAATTTTATACCTACACAATTATTAGGTTCAGTTTATCTTTATATTAAAGCATTATAATTACACGAGATTATTACTTACAATGTTTTTACATTGTATATAAAATTTTAAAATTACTAAATAATCTTTTCGATATGACGGCGCCATATTTACGCATAAAAGGGACAAGAAATGTTAATTGCTTTAGCAAACATGTATCAAGAGCATTTAAAACCATTAATGGCCCGAGGAGCTATTGCACTAATTACTACGTATCGGAATGGCAGTTAAAATAATTAAAGGAAATTGTACAAGTCGCGATAAGTAACTTCCATAAATTGTAGGTATCTAATCACTAGTTCTAAGTTCAGTTTGGAACGTTATGAAATTTTTGTTCTGGAAACGTTGCTAAAATCAAGGATCGACGACGGTTTGAAACACGTTAAAAAAATGTTGTCGGAAAAGCTTGAAGAGCATTGGAATTAGATTTTTTATTGTACTCCTTCAATAACAGAGAAGTACAGGTCGGACGAAGGAAGCTGGCGAGCGATCGCGCAGGTAGGTACTTGCCCATTTATGACCTATTTGGGTAAGTCACTTGGAACCGATATACAAATAAGCTAAAAATAAAAAAAAATTTGGGTGTTTCATTCCCACCAGCCAGTAATGCTGGTGGGCGGGCAGTCCCTCCGGACTACGCCGGAAGGCAGGGCGGAAGGCCCTCTTCAGCCTGCTTTCAGGAATCGTGGGAATGGGTGGGCGGTGGTTCGGGTGAGAAAGATGAGACGGGCGATATGAAGACAGAAGAGCGTGAAAGATTATCTGTGGAATATTACTGCCTCAACATTTGCCTAAGTGATCCAAGGAAACCACAGAAAAACTTGGACCAAGGCAGACGGACCCGGAATCGAACCGGCGTCCTCCCGAATGCTAAGCAATGGTCTAGACCTCTAGGCCATGCCGCTCGGTCCAAATAAGCTTTTAGTAGGCGTAAATTATAGTATTAATACAGATAGGACAGTAGAGTACTAGAAAATAATGTAGAAACATAACTTACCAAAAAGAAAAAATAAACCTATTGGTTTTGTTTTATAGTTAGTTTTCATTCACTGTCATCACGGGAATCTCTATCACTGTCACCAACATCAACAATTAGTTCTTCTGTTTGTCTGTCTATTACTTGCTCACTGATCCCTATTTTTAAATATTTAATCTACACCCCTGATAGGAATATTGAAGAAAGAGGGCTGCAATCGTTATACCTAAAACTGCCTACTTTTGCTACCGCGCATCCACGCCATTTTAAAATTTCCGCCAGCTTCTAGCGTTAGGCCTGTACATTTTTATGAGAAACGTAACAATAATTTGGAAAAAGGTTTGTAATTAATTTTATCGTTAAAATATCAAATTATTTATGTCAAATACAACATCAATTTGATGCAAATGAACTAATTGATGTTATACTAGGAAGCGATATTATGGATATTATAATTTGTAAAATTTGTTTAGCAATTTTGTATCTCTGGTCTTTCCATACATCGCTTTCTGTTGTTCGCAATTCATTGTTGCAACGCCTTGTTACGCATTTCTTACCTTTGGACTGTTCCGTTAATAATTTCTTAGTCTTAGTATGACATAGCTATCAAAACGTGCATTATTGTTTAGGTGCACTGGAACTACTCAATTTCTAATCGAAGGCGATAAATTTAAAATTTAATTAACTTTACTATTGCTATCGTGTACTCAATTGTAATTAGAAATAATGACAGACAAGTTTCTTAAATCTTTTTTCGAAATAATGAGTATTGAAGTAATGTCCATGTAATTATGAAACTTTCTCATAACCATTTTCAAAGTCTTTACTTAATACGTTAGTAATTAATAAATTCCGTCGAGGTATCGCTTCAGTCTGAACTTGCTTCATTAAAGTTTCGAACTTTTGTCAGTTTTACACATTGTTTACAAGAACTAGACAACTAAAACTTCCTCCCCTTTAATGTATTAGAGGTAGTAAATTTTCTTTTTATGTCTCTTTGAAAATCGCCCATCCTAAAGGACACAGCATTCGATCCTAACCCGTTCTGAGTAGGTAGTTAAAACTATATCTTCGGAAAGGATAATGTACCTAAAAGAAAACTAAAATCAAGATTTTTAATTACTTACAAACCATTAAGGTATTGGTGAAACCCCTCACAAAAGGCATTGGAAATTAATCTGGAACATATGCCGCTTGAGGTTTTTGGATTGGTTTTGCAGACTGTCGATAGACTGAAGCTACTAGTATCCAGTTTGGATATTGGTATTTTCAATTAAAAATCATCATTTTTTTGACGTACTGAACATTATTTAAATATCAATATGAATGAACCTTCAATCATATGACGTGTGAGATGCTGTAGACTTTGGGCTTACGTTAGATTATGGTGGGAGAGGATTTCCTGGTTAAATTTAATAAAGTGCTATGTCCTATTGACTTAGTTTAGATTCAATATTACTTTGAAATCATTTTTTTGATTTTTTATTTACCCACTACAAACTACCTCAAATTAATGAGGGAAAAATTGTTGCTATGTAACGAGTGGGTGAGTTAGGTTATAGGAGAAAAGGTTTCCCTGTTTGGCATGTGTGAAATTTTAAGCACTATGGACTTAAGTTAGGTTATGGTGAAGCACCAATACACCATCGACAATGTTAGAAATTCGTCCAAATTTGGATTGGTTCAACTGGTCTCACAATAGTTATAGTATTCAAAGTAATTATTATCTGCCTAAGTTAAAATTGGTTAGAAATTTTCGTTAGGTCCATTAACATTTGCGTAATAGCTTATGCTATTGGCCAACAGTAATTTATTTGTTTAAATTAGGTACGTACGAAAGTCCATACATAAACATGTGCACGTGTGTGTGTTTTTGAATGCG